CTCCCTGGAAATTTTTTCCAATTGTCGGGAATGATAGAGCAGGGTCTGAGGGTCCGAATGAGACCAAGAAGGAGACCCCCGGAGCCTCCAGAATATTTTTATTGATTTTTTGAAAAGATGACGAAATCCAAAAAAGAGTGAGTGAGTTAGAGCGAGCGAAGGAGTAGCCAAAGGGAGCGGCGTCGAGCTGCGGGCAACTACTGCGCATTTCTTTCCCTCCCCGTTTCGGATCTTTGATTCACCTTTTTTTCTTTTTAGTCTCGTGGGGGAATACCCCAGTACCGATGGGCTATTTATATTTACCCCACTTTCCTCTTTATTCTTATCACGTATTCTACTCCGCACAAAAAAATAAATAAATATTTTTATTTCCATAGCTCCCCCACCACCCTTCCCCACATTGTAGGTCTGTGAAGAACAGAAGTGTGAAGAGGAGGTCTTCCCTTTGGCCATGAATTACCTGGACCGCTTCTTGGCTGGAGTCCCCACTCCTAAGACCCACCTGCAGCTCCTGGGTGCTGTCTGCATGTTCCTGGCCTCCAAGCTCAAGGAGACCATCCCGCTGACGGCCGAAAAGTTGTGCATTTACACCGACAACTCCATCAAGCCTCAGGAGCTGCTGGTAACGACTGTCCCTTTCTCCCTTCCTTTCATCTTGTCCCTCTTCGAGCTCTCTCCTGGACTCTTCTGCTTCTACCCTCTGTTCCAAACAAATTCTTAGGATGCAAAATTGCCCCACTGGAATTTTCATAACTTATGGAAGATACCTCTTAAAATGAGATCTTTTGTGTTCCTACTGTGTGTGTGCGGGACACTGCTAAGAAGTACTGAGGCTACATCCACGAATAAGATCTTCAAGGAAATTTGTATTGGTGAAATTTATTTGCAGTTGGGCGTGTGTGAGTGCCTGCCTGTGTATGAGTGAATGTAAGGGAGGCACAAAACACTATGATAATATTTTAATAAAATTCCAAATTTTCAATCACTGAATTCTGAGACAGTAGTTCCACTTCCCACATGATAGGAATGTGTCGTGGTGTGTCCCCTAAGAACCCAGAGTTCAAAAGTAGTACGTTCTGTATCTAAAGTCTCAAGATACCTACACATAGTAGCTGTTCACTAAATATCAGCTCACCGACTTTTGAGCAAAGTAAAAATGTGGCCCTCATTGGAGGAATCTGAGGCATAGGTTCCTGCCTTCAGTGGGGCTGTGACCTCTGTACAACCCTAGGGGTCCTGTCTTGACTGATTTTCTGCCAGCAAACCTTTTCCCACCCAATCTAACTCTTTTCCCCTGCAGCTTCACACTTAAGACGTCTATATTGCAGCAGTGGAATGGTAGTGCGGCTCAGAGGCCCGCCTTCAGTGATCTGCACACCTTTCTTTGCAATGTTTAAAAAAGGGGACCCCTCTTACCACCCTTTTCCCCTCCTTTCTGGCAAGGCCTGGGCAAAGTCTGCAGAGCTGATTGGCTGCTAGACTGCTTTTTGTGAGAGGCCTTCCCTTTCTGGAGCTGTGCTGCCATCTAGTGGCAGACATGTGCAAGGATGGGGGAGGAATTGCCTAGAATGTAGAGGGGCATGAATGACTTCACCTTTGAACCGCTGCCAGATTTCAGCTGCTTCTGGTTTGCTTTGAGAGGCCCAGAAAGGTGCTTTCTTCTGGGAGATCTGCTTCCTTTAATAATGGTACAAGTGGTTTATACTCACATTCCCCTGTGAGAAGGAAGGGCTGGAATTTCAAGACATTTTAGGAGACAAGTTTAGTAGTCTATCAGGGATTTTTTTTTTCTTTTTTTTCTTTTTTTATTCCAACCCTCTGTAAAAAGCCAAGGCAGTCTTTAAACTTATTTTTAAAAATTGTTGGAATTGGCAATCAGTCTGTATTTCTCATGGGAGACCAGAAAAATGAATTTTCATGTGGTTCATTCGCCGCAACATGATGGTGGACTGAGACATTCTTCAGGGACATCTGGTTTTTCCAGGACCAGCCAGGCTAATTTATGTTCCATTGTCCATCTCTTGCCCCTAGAAGTTGGGGTCTTGAGGAGTCCTCCTGTTTCACAAGTGGAAAAGCTGAGGCCCAGGGAAGTTAATCAGCTCAGGCCATACAGTCAGTGGCGTAGGAGGAAGGCTGGGGCTCTGGCTGCCACCCTAGCAAGTGGAAAAGAGTGTTTTTTAGGGAATGGCACACTGATGAACTGGGATCTGCCTCTCATGCTTCGAAGGTGATGAAGTGATAGGCCATTTTTCCTCAGATTACACATTTTTAAGGTTTTTTTTTTTTCTGGCTTGTTTCCCTTTGGACACAATTCCCCAGAAGTATCTCAATAAGGGAAAGAAGAAAGGTTTTTTTTTTTTTCCTTTTTGGGCTGCTAGTGAAAGTCCTTAAAGAGATGGGGTTATATCGATCCTCCACTCCTCCCCGCCTTTACACTAAGGGATCTGTGACCCTGGACAAGCACCTTCACCTTGCCCCAGATTACCTCCAGCTGCACAGTGGGGTCGCTAATGCTGCACAGTAGGATTGCTAATGACCTTCCTGGTCCTTCAGTCTTCAGTCGTGTTGGCAAAGGCCTGTGAAACATTTAGGTGAAAGGGTGCTCTGTGGTGGAGTATCATTGCCCCAAGATTTCTGTTTTATGTGTCTAGGGGAGAGTTTTAACAGCAGAAAGAAAAATGGTACTTTTTGGCACCAACTACAAGCAAGCTAATTGGTTGCCAAGGATTTAGGCCAAGGAACCTTATTTTGAGCATTATCTGTGTGCATCATTTTTCCACGAGGATTAAAAAGACTATTAATCCAGTGATGGAGACATATACAATAAATTCCTCCCAAAGGGCCACAATGACCTTGGCAGTATCTTACTAGGTTCAACTTTCTGGGTGGGCGGGTAATAGCATTGCATGGAAGTCAGAGTTGGGTGAGGGGTGGGGGAGCTGGAGAGGAAAAGAAATAGAAGTAGAATCTTGGCAACTGCTACCTGGGCTCTCATTATTTTCAGTGGAGCCTGACATTTGAAGCATAAGAGCCGTCAGCAACTTCAAAGCTTTAGGGGCACTTTGACAAATGGGCCGCCTTACAATCTAGCGGCGTCCTAATGAGCATCATTAAATCTGGTCTGAATCCCACCCCTCCCATCCCCCAGTCCCTTCAACACCAGGTCAGCCTGTGGGCTTTATACTCTTCTCCCTTCCCCATCAGGAGTGGGAGCTGGTGGTGCTGGGGAAGTTGAAGTGGAACCTGGCTGCTGTCACCCCTCACGACTTCATTGAGCACATCCTGCGCAAGCTGCCGCAGCCCAATGAGAAGTTGCCTTTGATCCGCAAGCATGCGCAGACCTTCATTGCTCTGTGTGCCACTGTCAGCCTGTGGGCTTTATACTCTTCTCCCTTCCCCATCAGGAGTGGGAGCTGGTGGTGCTGGGGAAGTTGAAGTGGAACCTGGCTGCTGTCACCCCTCACGACTTCATTGAGCACATCCTGCGCAAGCTGCCGCAGCCCAATGAGAAGTTGCCTTTGATCCGCAAGCATGCGCAGACCTTCATTGCTCTGTGTGCCACTGGTAGGAGCAGGCCCGAGCGGGGCGGGGGTGGGGGGGGGT